TTTTCGCTGTTGATTTTCAACGCAATACATTAACTAGCTGCATTTGGTGATGACCATTTTTAGGATACGAAATTCAAATTGCAAACGACATGGACAGCACCGAAGTGCATGTAAATGTTTTTATTATTTCTTATTAAATTCATGTATGATTATTGTTTTACGACCTGTTTCTGTTGATGGTAGCTTAAATTAAATGAANGAGTACGACAGTGTTTGTGCTCAACAAATATGTCATTAAGGATAAAATTGGCAGACAGTATAATGCAGGTTTTGTGCAGGTTTGTATATTAATAATCAATTTCAATAAAAAAAGCCATTAATATTTATTCCATTCGCTATAGTTCGCCTTCTCAAGCATCTTATATCCCCTTCAAGTGGTCTCCACTTGCATGTCGGTGACGAGCTCACGTTTAATGGCTGGCCGACCTCCTATAATGCCAGAATACAAAAACTGGGTTGATTGTTGGAATGACTTACAAACTCGGGGCCAACTTAAGCGTGGTAGTTCGTTGTTTTGGAGGTAATTTTTAATAGATATATCACACGTTTAATAATATAGAGATGTAACTCAAAATTTAAGTTTATGGAGATTTCAGTATGCAATTAATAAGCTTGATAAATATAATATGTTTAGTCAAACAGTTAACCAAACTTCCCAAATATGGCGAAGATATGTCTATTGCCATCTTTCTCCTTGCATAGCAACTGTATGAAATGATAAAACTTTGATTGCGTTTTCCCACAAAATTTAAAATTTGAAATACTTCGTTATATTATTAAACGTGCGATATGTTTGTGTATCTCAATTTTATAAATTAATGTGTAATCTTTATCAGGTCTGTTGGAGGATCATCAAAAGTTGTCACCCTTGGAAAGCGCGGAGACTTTGCGCCCTTACCCACTATTTCAAAATACCAATAAGTCAAGCATTTCAGTTATTACCTCAATCACTGTGCAAACGATGCATTTGAAATATATTTTCGCTGTTGATTTTCAACGCAATACATTAACTAGCTGCATTTGGTGATGACCATTTTTAGGATACGAAATTCAAATTGCAAACGACATGGACAGCACCGAAGTGCATGTAAATGTTTTTATTATTTCTTATTAAATTCATGTATGATTATTGTTTTACGACCTGTTTCTGTTGATGGTAGCTTAAATTAAATGAATCTAGTTCATAAATTATCCAGCATTTGTTATTATCTGGCTGGAGTGATTACAAACAAGAAGTTGGGAATCTAAAGGGATTCCACACCAGTTGGAAATTAAATAAAACTGCCTCTGTTCTGTTTTAAATTTTTTTGTTTATTTTTCCTAGCATTCGGCCAAAAATTAGTGAGTGTTCCAAAAAATGAATGCTACGAAATGTTATGGGGCCTATTTAGTATGCTCTCAGTGCGCGTGGGGTTTGGTTGGAAAATAATCGCGGGAACGCATTCTATTTTGGAAGCGAGAAACAAAAATAAATAATATGTACTAAAAAATATAGAAAAATTTTGTAAATTTACGATTTATTTCTANGCCTAGTTCATAAATTATCCAGCATTTGTTATTATCTGGCTGAACTGATTACAAACAAGAAGTTGGGAATCTAAAGTGATTCCACACCAGTTGGAAATTAAATAAAACTGCCTCTGTTCTGTTTTAAATTTTTTTGTTTATTTTTCCTAGCATTCGGCCAAAAATTAGTGAGTATTCCAAAAAATGAATGCTACGAAATGTTATGGGGCCTATTTAGTATGCTCTCAGTACGCGTGGGGTTTGGTTGGAAAATAATCGCGCGAACGCATTCTATTTTGGAAGCGAGAAACAAAAATAAATAATATGTACTAAAAAATATAGAAAAATTTTGTAAATTTACGATTTATTTCTAAAATATTGAATTATAATAAAAAATAAAGGCTAAACACAAACGGATGCTAAATTGAATCCGAAAAGTGGTAAAAAATATAAAAATCTCAGCAATATTGGACGCTCCGCTCCGTGTGTGTATCCATAGAAAATTTNAAAATATAATAAAAAATAAAGTCTAAACAAAAACGGATGCTAAATTGAATCCGAAAAGTGGTAAAAAAAAATAAAACTCTCAGCAATATTGGACGCTCCGCTCCGTGTGTGTATCCATAGAAAATTTTTAAAATTTACTTCGTGCGAGCGATTGTGTTGGTTCCCTTTTGTCTCATTAGCAAGTAGTTTCCATCTCACGAAAATAAACCAACAAAATGTGCGTACATACACACATATGTATGTATGTACGATCTTAAAATAAACCAAACAATTTCACTCCCCGAATGTGTGTTGGCCTACTAGCTATCGCGTGCATCTTAGCGTTCAACAATATCCATACATACCTATATACGTACGTACTATGTTTGACCAAAGTGCAAGTGTTTATATGAATGTGAATAATTGGTAAAATTTTTAATTCTGTACTTGATATACACACTTCTAAAATAACTGTAAAAACGGGGTTTAAAACGNTGATCTTAAAATAAACCAAACAATTTCACTCCCCGAATGTGTGTTGGCCTACTAGCTATCGCGTGCATCTTAGCGCTCAACAATATCCATACATACCTTCATATACATCCGTACTATGTTTGACCAAAGTTCAAGTGTTTATATGAATGTGAATAATTGGTAAAATTTTTAATTCTCTACTTGATATACACACTTCTAAAATAACTGTAAAAACGGGGTTTAAAACGTAAATCGAGCGCGGGTGCATATTTTCGCTAATATGTCGACTCGACGGGCGCATTCACTGCCGCCTCATATGCTAGATGAAAAGCCGACGCGCGGAAAATGCATTACTGCGATTTGCTTCTCATGGAAGGTGATTTCATGCGTGGTGTCGCACGTGATTTTGGTGTTGTTGGTGGTCTCTTATTGCGTTGGAGGAGCTTATCTATTTCAACACCTGGAAAAACCGCACGAAATCGAAGTGAGTTAAATTACCACGGAAGTACACGACCGAGGGTCCAGAAGTCCAAAAAACAACTTTTGGACCCAACAGCGTACTGGCAGGCCATAAACGGCATTCACAGGGAGTCGGTCTCAACTTACACCAACTTCCGACCTGTAAATGCCGTTTTCTGTACCCAGCCACCTGACGTGGACGAGACAATAGAGCTTCCTCTACTAACTTAGCTCTGGATATTACTGTTGGCTAAACTCCTACCTAGGTAGAATAAATGCAGATGTACCCAATGATGAATGGTCGGGATGCGGAGTCATGACTCGGCACACCCCTTCGCATGCCCTCTAAACCCCACTCAAGTGGCCCAACCCAGTGGCTTAGGCTTCCCGTTAGTTGACCTAGACGACAACGACTAAGTGACAAGCCGATCTAGGCAGGGCCAAGTAGGCCTCTACAATGGAAGAAACCAATTAAGCCTAAGTTGAACTAAATAAATAGCCCTCCTCCGTCCAACTCCGGCTACGCAGTCCATAGTATTGTTGCATCCAACTGTGTCCGCGTTCAGCCTAAACTTAACTGGTTTCTCCCATCGGGCTCAGGACAGGCCAGTTTGTCCGAAAATCCCGCTTGACTGGTATATACATATACATACATATAACTAGTATGTGTGCTGAAAAAAAATAATACTTACTATGTAACATACATCTACCCCCTTATCAAGAGGGGCGCTCTCGGAAAATGCTTAGAAAAATTCTTTCTCTACAGGTGAAGAGGGATATCCAATACCTGCGACTCAATTTAACGGACAAAATTTGGCGCTTTTCCGATAATGCCTCTGTGCTCTCCGAAAGCGATTGGATTTCAAATGTAAAGAAGGATTTGGCTGGTTTCGAAACACAAATAGTGACCGCTATTAAAACAAATGGTTGGGATGGTGATGAGGACGTTACAAAGTCGCAATGGACTTTTGCTGGATCACTTTTTTATTCGATCATCGTTATAACTACCATAGGTGAGTGTACAATATTTAAGCTGATAACTAATGCTAAAGCTAACAGTAAAGCTACATAAAAACATAAATACATTTCTATTTACAAACATAAGCATTTTTAATGCCATTGCCTAATTAGGTAATTTTTTGAAAGCCTTATTGATCTTATCATCTACTTGTTCGGTGAGTTTGCTGCTTTTCGCACTCTTTCCCTCCGCCTGCAGTTTCCGATTTATGTTTCCATTGTCATTGAATATTGAACCATAGCCAAAAGGGCGCCCACCGCCTGGATAGGGAATATAGCCTGGGAACCCACCACCTCCAGTGTAAGCGAGACCATACCCTTCTGTATACTGCGGCCCCACCCCGCCAGGATATTGGGCAGCAGGAAATTGATTGCCTTGTATTTGACCACCTGGATATTGAGTGCCACCTGGCGCGAAACCTCCTGGGTACTGCCCGCTTCCTCCAAATTGCCCGCCAGGATATTGTCCTGCACCACCGAACTGTCCCGCGAAGCCAGGGTTTAGACCGCTTTCCGATCCTAAGAAACCATTGCCCACCGCATTACCACCTCCGAAAACTCCTGGTTGTGTCGGATATCCTACTCCAGGTTGCCCGATGAAGCCATTGGACGGGAAACCACCGGGGTATTGTGATTGCGGACGTCCAATTATACCCGTCGGTCCACCAGGTCCGACCAATATGCCATTACCGCTGCCAACGGGATTGCCAATACCGCCGATGCCCGGGTAGTTGTTTGTGCCGAATAGCTGACCATTGCCGAAAGGAGGGTAGGGGTAATTGCGTGTGCCAACATTTGTGTTTACTTCATCATCTGTATAATCGTCTATCTCATCGTTTTGTGGTTGTCCAGGAAGTGGCCGCCGTGTAGTCGGCTCGCGATCGCGTGCCCGTGCATTGCGGCGTAGTGTAATACCTTGATATTTCGCTGAAACTTCATCGTGGAACGGACGCGATTGGCGGTCGGTGTCGCTTCGTCTGGACCACACCCAATGGTCTTCTTCGTTCACAGCAAAACCACCACATAAATAGGCTGCGAATACAACCACAAGCAGCTTTTTGTTCATTTCCGCAGCTCTGAAATGACAAATGAGAATAGTTTAGACGACTTTAAGTAGGTGCTTTGCAATTAAGACCTAAGCACTGTCTTAAAGAAGGCGAGCTACTTAGCGTTTACTATATAATTTTCCTCTTCTTCTCTGCACGGAGCCTTGACCGATCCTATTCACCACCCGGATGAAGCCCGGCCGTAAACCCAAACAGTTTATAGGTTCGCTCTCTCCCTTTCTACGAGCCCATACGCAATCGCTTAAAAATCACAAAAGAAGTCCACAAATCGCTCCTGGTCGTGTTTTTGGCCACCATTCTAGTCAACGCATAGAACGAAGCTACAGATCTTCCAGAACACCGTACTCAGGACTGCCACCACCTATATAGTGAGCCTGCAAAATCCTCGTTAGGGAACACAATTTTATGCTCAGTAAGCAATTCCTACTCGGCTGCCAGCGCACGGAACACCCGAACTGGAATTCGCTGGGAGCAGACCCACCTCTAGGCAGGTCAGGAGGCATATATTTGGATTGACGGGCGAGATCCAGACATACAAAATCCCGCCCTGTGAACGCCATCATTGGCGTTCACCACGACCTATCATAGACGGAGAGTTTCAGCTGCTTCGAGAGAACCGTATAACTATGGCGCAAATATGGACTGGATACCCCAACAGGTTAAACTGTTGTCTATCTAGACTCGACCCTGACATACCCAATAAATGTTCATACGACATCAACCTCGTCTCCCTTGGTCCTTAAACCCAATCTGCTAACACCAATTTCCCTTTTGGGCCCATCGGGTCGAAACAGCCCGTTTCCTGGCTATATCGTTAGTTTAGTGTTATGACGACGATGGATGCCCAATTGATAGTAGTGCAGATACAGCAAACCAACTTTAAAAGTAAAAAAAATAAATAAAAATAGCACCTTTTGAAACTAGGACGGGTTGCTTCCTAACTAAACTATTTTAAGTGATGCCGTATTAATTCAAATTTCATTTATCTAAATTCAAACTAAGGATGTGCATACTTATGTATTTTCTTATCACTTATTAGAGAAAATAATATTTGCATAATTTTTTTTTGCAAATTTTTTTTTTTATCAAACGGTCCAGGTCAAAAATATTTTTTTTCGATCAAACATTGGTAAGACGTAAGATCAAGATTTTTCTATGCACTTATAAAATTATTTAGCCATTGCCCGCAACATTAGCCGTCGTTTTTTTTTTTTGGTCACTTTAAAAATAATCTATGATGCGTTTATTGTGCGTTCACAAAACCTTAGTTTTTTAATTAATGTACAGTCCAGTTATGTTTATAAATTTTCCAACTTAATCACCTTTATTAGTAAATAATACACGCACTCACACTTTTGTAAATTATTCCTTTTTTAAATCTTCTATAGTTTATTTGGCAGCCGTTTTTTTCACAAATATATTTATGCGTGAGGTATGCTTCTTCTTCTTGTCACGGTGCGTTTGAGCGCGTCGGCGATGGTTGGTAGAATAATTTGGCATGAGTTGGGCACACGCTACTTATATAAAAAATTTAACCAGACGAATCGTCAACTGCAGCGTCATCGGCTGCTACCACACAACCGAAATAAAAAAATTCAAAAAATAAAAATAAAAAATAAATTCACAACATCATTAATCCAAAGTCAATAGTGACGGCTAAGATCGCCGAAACCTGCCGGTGTTTGGCGTAAATTTGAATGTATGGAGGAAAACAAAACAAAAAAGTAGAGCTATTTACTAAAAAAAAAAAAGAAAAGGGATCACTGTTCGATGCATTAAAAACTGTTTTGTTTATATAAAGACAATTTAATACATATATTTGTATTGTAGTTAAATATTTTTACTGAGCAATCGATCGCGTTAGAATGCTCCGCTGCTCACAATTGCAGTAATTTCCACTAAACTCAAGTATTTTTTCCTGTTCTCAAGGAAACGAGTATTTTTCAGCTTGGGCCTGGGCAGAATAAATGCAACATTATTTCGAGAAGAGAAAACGCTGTCAGATGATGGCATTCACGGGTCGAAAGTTGACGAAGGCAATGTGATTGACTCCCGATTTAGGTCTGTCTATAGTGCTTCTGGGGCATGGAATAAGGCTGAACATGGTCTTTGAAATTAGTGAGATCGCTATTGTAAGAGTATATACTATATACCTGCCCTAGCCATTAGTTTAGTTATTGTAAACTAGGCATAAGCCGGTTTGTGTCTATGCCATAAGTGACAGAGTAATGGTCTAGCCCTTAAGGCATGACGGCCCAGGACATCATCTTGCAAATAGTTAGCGGAATAAAGAGACATTCGATATTTGATGGCCGTAACGACGGACGTGTTTTAGTAACCACTTAGCCTTCTGAATATACCCCTATTGCGGTGGCATTTCAAAAGGAACAGTTTGTCGCCATAGAGCTCGTAGGGGAACCTTGCTAGGTACCTTGCTGGAAAGGTCTTAGACATAACCAACCATTCACTCTTCGAATTATCTACGAATCGCTGGCTGACTAATAAAGCCTTTTTAAGTCACGTTATTCCCATAATTACAAAACAGAAAATATTTCGTTTGCCGAATTCGGCATTACGCATCAGCGGGTTGTCCACGCTAGCACGTTTCCTTGTGGCTTCTGTTGCCTTTGGTGGTCTTTTGTATTAACCCATCTATGCCCTAAGACTGCAGCACCGCAGCGTACGCCCATGTGTACATATACTTTGTACATGCATGCATGGGTGTGGGTACGTGCAAGTGCATGTAGATATGTATATTAGACCGGGTCGGCCCACATATGCCCATAAAGAGGAAATATGGGATGTTTAACCTTGAGAGTTTAAGGCATTTAACGCTGCCTGACTATCCGACATAATATTTAATATGACCACATTTGCTCATCTACGAAGACATTCGGTAACACAGACTTCAATTGCGAAGACTTGCGTCCGGAATATCGTTGGGTATGTGACCATTGGCAGACTTTATTGGAATCTTGGTCCAAGTATGCCTGCCACAGTACTCCCGCCACCCATCTTCGATCTGTCGATATACCTTGTACCTACTTGTGGCCTTTCGTCAATCATAGTTATTATCGCTTCAAAGCAGTGACCTTGTAGGGTTTGAAGAAGGATAACTTGGGATCATCCAGGAATGACTTGAGAGCCTCCAAATAACCCCAAGATCTTCACTTTTCATGCTGATCGTATTGGGCAGCCGTAGGTCACTCCAGCGGGCCTCCTTTTCTATCAGAATAGACAAAGGAGGAATACCTGTAATGCCATCAAGGTGCGCATAGCTACTGTGATCGGTGCAGTCGGTGCAGTTACTCAATGGTGCACCCTCGTTTACTTGCTTAGCTTTTGGTCAACATTGAAAGACCAATACGTTAGTTTGGGTTACATTCCCCAAATCTTACCATGAATTCCTGGACAGGCATAAAATTCACTTGTAGCCTTGTTTGCAACATTCGAAAGATGTGAGCTTCAACTGAGCCTTTTGTCGAGAGTTATCCCTAGATATTTCGCCTCTTTTGAAAACTAAATTTCTGTCCCTGCCAAGGTCGGTCTAATCAAAGTGACTTTTCTTCTTTTGGTAAATGGGACAATGGTGGTTCAGTGGGACTTCAGTGGGTTTATTGACAAGCGATTTTTGTATGGTATTTATTTGAAAAATATCTTAAAGATCGACCTATCTCGGCAGCCAGTTCGAAAACGCCCTAACTGGGGAAAATCCTCAAGAACGCCCTAATTCAGAATTCGGTTCAAAAACGTCCTATCTCAGCTGAAAATACACTGAAAATGTGCTGGCTGCCGAGATAGGTCCATCTCCCACTCAGGTGTCGATATACAGCTTTCAAACTAGGAGCAAGCGAAGGTGGTTAGTTAAAAACTTTTTCTCCGGGACCCAATCTAATGTACATATATTTGAAATAAGTTCTAATCCGACGATCGTGGCGATGTTGCAGTGATCGGATTGTGGGACATGCATCATTTATTTGGCCATGTGGGTGGGGGTACATACATATGTGCGTTCTCTTGCAGCAATCATCGTCAACAATCGACATCGTTCGGTGGTCACTGGCATTCTACTTTCATTAATCACCGCATATTTGACGCCCAATAAATGTTCGTGTAAATCATTTATATCATTCGAAGAATTGGCAATTAAACACGCTCGAAATGTATCTTCGACGGCGCATTGTGCAAAGGGAAATTACTTACCACACAACAACAACAATATGCACATAACTATGTATGTATTTACATATATGTGTGTTCTCAAATATATGCAAATTGAAAGACTTTTTGTTATGCTCTGCCTTTTCGTGATCTGAATTTGAAATGTGGCCGTAATGCCAAAAGACACATCTACCCGAAATTGCATGATTGGCATTTGTTTATAGTGAATTGTGGGCGCAAAAAAAAAAACGATTTTAAAACGGAAAATTCAATCTAGAGTTTTTAACAAAGCCATCGATTATTTTACTGAGATAACGGTGTTTTTTACATAAAAATTAAAAATAAATGAATTTGAATTTGACGCAGTGTAATTAACCACACATGATTGTGCTGATGTACATCTGCTCTAAATGTATGTATGTATGTATGTATATATACATGCACAACCATAGATAGATCACCGCTTTTGCTCTGACCAACTTGCCCAAGCGACATGGTGCGTTTCTCACGTGTTTGACCTTCCAAAATTTGGTTTTGATTTTTGGTTTGGCTGTTCACATTTCATTGTAGCTACGAACGTCTGAGTGTTTGTTGCTGATGGTTGCACGATGAACGCTTTCCGCATGCTCCACGCTCCAATGCACAGCGGCGACTGAAAACGGCAACACTGCCAGCACCATTCAATGCTAGGCAAGGTCAGTTCTGGACGCGTTTGCTTAATATTTTTAAAATTTCCCAAAATAGTTTTAATCTCAAAAGTTAGTCTATAAATACATACACACACACATACGCCATACAAATGTAGATTGGCATGAATGCATTAACTTGTGTTATTGGTTAAAGTGTTGTCATTTATGTTTCGTGGCTGTCGCAATCGCAGACATTTGAGTTTACTGACCGCGTCGACGCCTAATCAAAACAAATGATTTTGGCCACCACGCGGAAATGAACTCGATGCGCTAAAAGCTTCGTTTAAGGTAAATCCACTACATTTCCAATCTAAGTATGAATTTAGTTAGTTTGTGTGGAAATTGAAGATCTGCGCTATCACCCCTGTCCAATGGCGTACATTGACTCGGCGAAGTAAAACAAATCCAAACCAAAAAAAAAAAATTTTGATTCGAAAAATCACAACTTTACAAGTTCACCACTTAATTGCAAGTCGGCTGATGGCATTTTGACTCACATTTCCTGCACATTCGGCTGACATGCAAACAAGCGCTCGCAATGGCGGCGACTCCAGCAATTGAATTTAAAAAAAAAAGTGTGTCATCCGCCATAAGGAGGTACCCAAACAATGGAGACCGAACATTCTGAGTTACTCATCGTATGAACGTTGTCGTTCATAAAATTCATAATTGCACGAAATGAATAAAAATTTAACAATATTTATTGCGAGTTTAATGTGAGATGCGCCTGATCATTCATTGGAGTGCCTTGCCCAATGCGTTACAGTTGGTTGACCAATTTTCAATGGCATCCAATGTTTCGTATTGCTTTGTCACATATGTGTGGACATACATGCATACACACAGACATGTACTACACACATACATAGGTATTTCTTATAGGCAGCACACGCAGTTGTTGCAACATCTTCCACATTGCTTTGTGAGAGTAGTCGATTATTAAATATTACAAAATATATGTACATATGTATGTACATGGATTATTATTGGTCGAATTAGTGGCGCTGAGTTTTCAAAATTAGCCTAAAGTTTATAGCTATATTATTCTCCCAAATCATTGTTTTGGCACTGAAAGAAACGGGGGGCCACCCGCAACAAGCCTTTCTTCAACTTCTTTGATTGGTCCCCATTAGCTGCTTTTACACGGGTCGATTTCTGTCGACTGGAAAATCGACTGGAAAATCGACTGAGAAATCGACCAGGCAAAACATCTACATTTGACGTTTGAATTGCCATTTACACTGGTCAATTTTGGTTGAACGACAAAAATCGACTAGAAAATCGACCCACTTAAAGGCAGCTTATGGTAATTTCCATGCCAAAAGAACGACTCGCAAAAACTCGCCCAGGTACCGTGAACTAAGCACCCGCAAAAACAACTACTACAACCACATCTTCGAATGACCGAAAGGGGCAAAAGAAATAAAAATATCTGGAACCTTAAACGATGCTTCAGATAGGTTTGATACCTCCTACCGAGCGAAGGTAAATACAATTACAAAATGTAGAAGAAGATGTATCCTCTGCCATCAAACAAGTAGGCAATGCATTCCGATCAGGTTGTCTTCGGCATCAAAACCAATAGGCGACTTCGTATATGCACACGAAACTAGATCCTTTATAGAGAATCAGTGAATGAATTGTCAATTTCTTCACTGCCAGAAACCTAGAAATCTCCGCAGCGAAATCCACTGCCACACTTTTGCCTACGTGGACCAAGGATTGACGTCTATGTCGATGGTGCCAAAATACCGACAATCAATAATCTCAAAAGTCACGTTTGACAGCCTGCTCCCAACGATGGCCTTCGTCATCTGTAATAAATTTCGTGGCAGAAACAAAGTCCATTAGTCACTAGCCAGCAGCACCTGACGAGCCGACAAAGAGGTCCTGCTCACAATATGCAAAGCGATCAACCGATCGGTAGAAAACTACAAACGTGTGGCGGCACCTGCACGGCTGCAGAACAAACATCGAGCCGTACTTAGACCATCCGTTCGACGAAGAGCGATAAAGAGCGGCACTACTATAGAACATGTATGGCAATGCAGTCAGGAGGAGTCTCATCACCCGTAAGAACAACAGGATCAATATTGAAGAGAGTGGGACTAGGGGGGCTATACGCAAGAGAAATGCGATGCGATAGGCAATCACTACTGCGTATTACTTACGATGTATTTGCCTATCGCATCGCGTTGCTCTTTCGTATCGCATGACCGAGTAGCCGCCCAGATGTACCCTATCACAACTTATTTCCGCCTGTGGTGTCGCAGGGGGTGATTCTTTGAATAGAATAGAAACGAAAGGCTGAAATAAATGAGTAAGAAAATTGTGAGATGCTGACAGCAATAATGCCTTTTAAAAACAATAAATCCCCTGGTACTGACTTAGTTTGGTCTGACGAACCTATGGAAGTTGAAGCAGAGAGTCAGAGAGGTCAGAGTCCTGCAGTGGAATTCTGACAATCGCTACGCTGAGAATCGCTATCGCTAAATGAAAAGCAGTGGGGCCTGAAAGTATGCAACATGGGAGAGTAACACAAGCAATGCGCAATCAGCCAAAGCTGGCACTGTTGCACTAGATGTTGCATGAAGATGGGGCGCCTGCTATTCTTTTGAAGATTTTTGGCGAACAAAATTAGCATCAAGGGTTTTGTTAGAGGACCCGGGTCCACGTAATTTGCATGAATTTTTTTCTAACAGCCACCTTGCCTCTGGAAACCTTGACAAACCTTACAGTATCTTTCTACCATAAGCAAGTTTTTTATAAAAATCCATAGAAAAAGCTAAAAATATCGAATGGTTGAACGACAAAAATCGACCCGTGCAAACGCAGCTTAAAGGATTCAATAAAATTACTAGTATGTCCTTTATTTCCCAATTATTATTTCATATACTGTTTCAACATATTTATGTAATTTTTACATTTTTCAGGATATGGACACATATCGCCACGGACGGACTGGGGTAAAGTGACAACAATTTTTTACGCTATTGTGGGTATTCCTCTAATGCTGCTGTGCCTTTCTAATATCGGCGATGTGATGGCCACTTCTTTTAGGTAGCCAACCAGCTCCAATACAGACCTTAAACAATTTTCCAACCGAAATTTATTTCTTAATAATTTGATTCAGATTCATATACTGGCGCGTTTGCTGCTATGTATGCACGCGCGCTGCGCGGCGCCCACGTCGTCCGCGTCAGCGCTCCAGCCGAGGTCAGCGTTACGCGTCCCGTTCTCAACCGCCGCCAATACGGCGATCTATCCGTCTTACGCACCGCTCGGTAGCCGATTCCGGTTTCGGTAACTCGGTTGGCCTACCGCACGCCCACTCTGATCCTGAATTGCGCAGCGGGCGTCACGACTACGAAGGCGGACGCAGCAGTGGTCGACGCCACCAACACATCAGCAGTCCACAGCGCAGCCGCCACATACCGCCTTACCAATACGAGCAACAGTCCTACGATGAAGGACCGCGGCAAACACAAACTCTCAACCGCGGCTCAAGATTCGGGCGCAGCATGCGTAATCGCGAAAGCTTACGTGGCCGACACACTGTCGAGCGTGAGCGCTATGTTGGACACTCCCGACAGCGGCTTGGTTCGTGTGAAGATCTAGGTGGACCGCCGATTCCGCCGCCCTCGAAACGTTCGTTCAGCATGCGATCGGTGCGCGCGTCNCTAATTTTCTTTTTTATATAGCTTAGTTTTACAGTTGATTATTAAGCTTTCGGTTTCTTCTATCACTTTTTACGTATCTGCACGTCGGTTATACGGTGTTTACATGAGGCAAAGTTTAGTTGAAAGCAATAATCGCATGGCCTTTCAACCAATTGCTTCCAATGAAGTTGGGGGGCAGCCAACTTTTGATTCAACTAATCGCCTCTAAAATTGTCTGGAAAATCGCCTCATGTAAACACCCTTTTAGAGATGAGTTGGAGATCGATGTTGGATATCAACTTGAGAATTATGAATTTCTCTAAGGTTGGAGAAATATTTTTCTGGTGTTTGCTGGGATAGCAGATATATATATATATATATATATATCGTCGTTTAAAGTACAAAACCGCGTATCGTGCTTCTGCAAAATCGCATAACTGACACACAAGCTCTTGGCTCAATCCTTATCCATTCGTCTTGAAATATACTAGGCAGATATGCGATTGCTTTATAAATAAAATTATAGTTTAAAAAACTAAAACCTCCCTATTATAATTGCCATTCGTACTGTCATCAGGTATGTAACTTGAGAATAGAAATCGCTGCATCTTTTAGGCGCATCAATATTACATAGTTACATCCCGAGCTTATAAAAAGAAGGTAACAAAAAGAGAACCATTTTGAAATATCAGTGTTTTTACAGTCTAGAAAATAATTTCTAAAACTTCACATACGCGGTCGCACTTTAAACGACGACATATATGTCCACTTGAAGATTTGTTTTTTTCAAATAAACTTGAACAAAACAAAGTTTCGTAACAAGCTGGAAACCACCACCTTAAGTGGTATTCTTTATACAAAGGATTACTTAAAAAATTGCGGTCATGAATGCCATGATATAGATTTAAATGCGAACAAAGATTTATTAAAATATATTAAAAGGATAATTTCAAGACTCAAATTAAAACGTATTTATTAATTTATATGTCATACCTGTATATTTTTGAAGTTATCTGCAATTTTTTGTTAGTTTTCTGGCAACACTGTATGCACGGAGGAACAGGAACTACAATAGCAGAAGAATACTTAAATATAAAGCAGTTGATATCCATGATACAAATATTTAATATTAGGTAGAACCGCTCGCTCATTTCGTCGGCCATCATTTATTTTTTAAAGTTTGTCTACTTTTTAAAATCGACATTTTGGGAGCGAGACATATCAAGCTAATATTTTTTCAAGGAACAGTCCTATGTATAGACGCACGCAAGAGCCACGTTGAGAAAAGTTTTTTTGATCACAATTCATTCTTTATCTTACTCATAAAAAACAATGCAAATCGGCACCTGAAAACTTTTCAAGAACGCCCTACTTCAGAATTTGATTAAAGAACGCCGTATTTCAGAATTTTGTTGAAAAACACCCTATCTCAGAATTCGGCTCAAAAGCTGATGTACGCTGTTCTTGAATCGGCAGCCGAGAGAGGGCGTTTCTGAACTGAATTCTAAGATAGAGCGTTTTTTAACCAAATTCAGAAATAGGGCGTTCTCGAAAAGTTTTCTGAAATAGGGTGTTTTCGAACTGGCCGCCGAGATATGAACATACATATGCACTCACAGGTAAAACTTAAAACTCAAAATACAAATCTCACTCAAGGTAAATTTCAAAAATCGAGGTACAGGTGATACTCACCAGTACTCACCATAACCCGGCAAACCAAACAATTGTTTACTTAGTTGAATCTGATTTAATAAATTAGTTAAAAACTCTATGGTAAAAGTAGGTACATAATTTACAAACAAATTGGAAGTAATTGTCAGTAATTTAGTGCACCCGAGTATTCGTCTATTTTGAGAACGAAAGTTCTCCGTAATGGCGAAACTGGTTTACTAGCAGCTGCTATGAAGTGTGAATGTGTTTTCTGTTTGAGCCAACTTTGCTCTCGCTGAAGTGATCGAGTCACTAGCCAGCCGCTGCAAGCCAAGTTGTGAGCGCTGATGCGAGTTTAGTTTCAAGAAATCTTCGGTTTGTGTAAACGTTTCGGACGGATGATTGCGGTTGTGCAAAGTGAAGAATATATTGCAGAAGAAAAAGAAAGGAAAGCTATGCATTTTATTACTTTCAAGTGAGGAAATCCGCAGTTCTTACGATTGCAAAATTGCTTTGTTCGCAATTTTTCGTTCATTTTTTTGAAGAATTGAAGTGGAGGAGCGGAAGCGCGGCTCGGCAACGGTCAAAAAGTCGCCAAAAGGCAAAAGCCAAAGCGAGTTTTACGTAAAGTACGCAAATACATATGCGTCTATTTACAGTCATATATACATGTATAAACATACATACATATATACTCACGTCGTGAATATAAACAACAAATTCGGTATATATTTTAGTCGCATTTCGGCGATTTTCTGCTTTAATCGAGTTTTCTGGTGCCAAATGCCATTGCTGTACGACGTCGTAGGCCGCCAGTTTCGCATTGCAGCAGCACTCGTACATACACACAAACAAACGTAAAAGTGAGTGAGGTACGAAAATTGTAGCCTTTTTGTGTGAATACTAAAATAAGTTACGAAAATTTTGCATCTTATTTTGAGATTCTTTAGCATTAAAATTAATATTTTATATTTATGTGATTTGTAAGGAAAATGGAAACAAAACTTCAAAGCCCCCTTTTGATAGTTAGGACAGAGAAATGTGGCGCGTAGATATTTTCGCAACAAGAAAAACCTGATGAACAGGTAGTAGTAAACGACGGCGAAAAAAGAATGAGAATAGTAAATAAATGATAGAGAATAGCGAATGGAGCGCGGACGTTTGTTGAAAGGTTTTACAATGTACAAATGTCTGTATGTTTGATTATTTATTATTTATCTCAGCGTTTGAGTGGTTTTTTTTAAGGCCGGTGGAAGCCTAGGCTTGACAGTTGCTTACTTCACCCAAGAAGAATCTCAGCTTCTTTTATTGTCTCATGGTTGAGTCTTCGCTCCATGTTGGTACACAAACATACTCACATACTCATACAGTGCATATAAATTATTGACTAGCAGCTATAATTGTAACTCAACAAGAGCTGTTTATTTTTTATTGGCTTCATGGTTTTTTCGTGTCTTTTTACCCACTTTGTTGTTGTTGGTGGCTACTAGCGGGAGGCTATCGGTGATACAATGAATATTCGAATTCCGAATAGAGTTGGCGAACTATAGACAACGTGAGAAACGTGATCTGGTAATTTGCGCTAAAACTCTCTGTTGCAAAAAAAAAAAAAACGAAAGCAAATCCATTTTCTAGCTGGGGGGAGGGCAGCGTTGCACGGCACGACTCAACCAAAGAGCACGTACAAAGCGGATATAGAAAAGATAATCCGGTGGATATTGAGTCTAGATTTGGGAAAATGTAAGTACATACATATGTGTATGTACAAATTACATACATACGATGCTTAAATTAGAATGGGCGAAAAGACATATGACTGTCCGACAGTCTAATTGGAGTTTCGCGTTGAAAACGTTTATCGTTATAATCAGGCATGGATATGTAGGAGATCCATTCGTTATTCCAAAAATTAAAAATTTTTAAGTAAATTTTGCGTAATTCACTAAATTTTTTAATTCTTTGGTAATTTTTTAGATTTCATCGCACTTTTTTTGGATATATTTTCGACATTATACATATAATACTGTGAGATAGTAAATACACACTAAACTCAATATGTTCGCGAAACCATGGGCCAAATATAGTAAAATTGCGTTTTTAGATTTTCACTTTGACGTCAGTAATTCAAAAATGATTTAAAAGATTCAGTGAAATATGCTTAGAGAAGAAGTATGGGTATCAAATTAAATAGAAAATTCTGTAGAATTTAAACAGATTCAATTTTTTGGTGCAAAATTTTATCCTTGAAATTTCGCAATATTTGTTTTTGGAAAAAACTATATGTTAGGGTCTTGAATAAACTCGATAACATTCTCGAATTTCGTCCTTCCACCTTTATCAGCTTAAAAAATTACATGTTCGTCCTTGTGAATCCAAGAAAGTTTAATTTTTAAAATTTTTTAACAAATTTCCTCTATCCCATACCCATATTTTTATTCTCATTGCATTGAATTTTTTAAATAATTTTTGGAGTTTATCATATCTTTGAAATTACAAAGTCCTTTAAAATAAATCCTGACGTCAGAGAGAAAAAATAAAAATGTCACTTTAAATAAAAAAAAGTAGGTTTCGAACCCATTTATTTATTATTTATTTTATGGTAGGAGAGCTTTAAAGCACATGTTTCGCAGACGTAGGTTAGCAAAGTAGGTTTAGAGAAGTCGTAACTTTAAATAAAAGTTTCCCTTACGGATACTTCTTCCTTACTTCTTCTGCTGAATTTCAAATTTGCTTTGATGGCGACGATATATTAAATCTGCACCAAATCTGCAGTATAATCTTTTATATAGCCCAGAAAGGGACAAGAAGTTGATAATTCTTTAGGGGCTTTTGAGAGCATTTCTCTGCGCAAGATCTCTTCCCGCGTGGAATTACGACTGCATCGCCTTGAAGATGTCCTACATACATATGTATGGATGATGACGGTTCGGAGAAAAGATCATTTGAAGTTTTTTAGTAAAACGTGAATTGTGTGTGTTTGAATTCTTCAGAAATTCTTATACTACCTTATTAATTTTTATAGAGAATCCAGTTTAGTACATATGTATGTATTATTTCTCGATCAACGTTTGGGGATGAGTCAAAAGAGAAACTTAAATTTAGTAAAAAAGAAATGTTCAATAACTATGCACAAAAGTATTAACTTATATTAAATATACCTATTAAATATACTTGTATGTGTGCTATATGGCAAATAACCTATTAATCCGTAGACAAACACGATCAAATGAATGAAACTCAAATTAAAATGAAAGAAGAGAAACAACAATGAAAGCAAAACTAATTCGTTTATTTGGGTAAAGACAACGTTTGGCAATTTCTCTGCTTCTATTTCTCTTTGTGATCGTTATTAAAAAAAAATCAGTGGAGCGTTTTTGCATGTTGTTTTTGTTGTTTTCATATTCATAATGTCTTCTATGCCCTAAACGAAAAAAAATGTTAGCAATATTTAAGCAAATAATAGTAGCTATTTAAATTTCGAAAGAAATCATTTGGAACTCTACATCGCGCTGCTTAAAGGGTATACAATCACCGACTAAGCTAATAGCAAGTTCGTTGGCTTTCCTTCCTTTACATTTTCTTCGGTTTTTTGTTCGCTTGCCAAATGTCATTTACATTTTTCGTTCATAATGTTTGGGCGTTTTTCTGCACATACCGCGTTTGAGTAAATGCATAAAAGTCCAGATAAAATATTGGGGACATGTGATCTTCTAGTCTGCTGGTTATAAGTTCATTTCTTCATAAAACATCGCTGAAATGTTGTTAAACTAGAAAAACGTTTTCCCTTCATATTCCGAGAATTTGCTTATGCTTTGCAGCCATGACCACACCATGAAAACAGACTACACTGCGCATGCGTGGCTTCTTCGTGCGCCGCGCCCGCCGCTGTTCGCTCAGGCGTTTGGTGCCGCGCCAGCGCTTTGTGTGAGGTGTGAGGGAAAACTACTAGACAAAAGCTAACTAGGTACATATGTATGTATGTATAAAACAACAAAAAGCCAACTTCTTAAGTGTTTACAAATACAATCTTTGTACTAACGTTTTGCTTTGTTTTACTGTTGGCGCTACTTTGTTGTTGGTGGTAGGTAGCCAGTTTTCTTAAGTTGGCTACAGCTGTGGTGTGAGCTGCCGCCGCTTACCCCATTAGAGGTTTCTTTGATATGCCAAATAATTAAGTGCCATCATAAAAAAAACATTAGAAACACTTTTGTAACGGAAGCTTTGTAAGTTCACACGCTCAGCACGTCTAAGTAATTGTTGGACGACAATGCGAGGAATGGCTAGAGCGGACATGAAGACGACAGCTATGACAGAGGTGCAAAGCTTTGACGCTGCATGATTTGGAGCTGTTAAGCAGCAAAAACATTTATACACGCACACACATGTTCTAATGTCTGTTGTCGGCATTGTTGACGGCCTACTCTTTGCAAAGATTGTTGACTACTTTGGAATTGAAGTGTGCGTGCACTAAGTGGACAACTAACAGGACATACAATTATATGCAGTGCTTTGTCAACATAATTCATCTTGATATTCCCACAGATGAAGATGTCATTTCACAAAAGAAAAACTGATTTTTTCTTCGCTTTATGCCCACAGATGACCTAAATTCGATGTCGATTCGACTTGATCTAATTTCGCTAGAGGTGATCGTCAATGAGTTTTAAAGATGCCGAAGTATTGGTCATACTGGAGGTAGCATGGAGTCCAATCAATGGCCTAAAGAGAGAAAAACAAATCCTCATTTTCTCTGACTGTCAGACAGCCCTGAAAACTTTAGACTCACCCTTGATCCATTTTTATAGAATTCAAGTTATATGCAAAGCTGAAAAATTTGCAAGGCAAGGTGCGACCATAAATCTTCTTTTTGGGTAATAACAAAACGATTATTTCAATAGTCATCTCCAAACTGTGTTTCGTGGGCTTAACTACATATAAATGAGGCATTCTACTTTCTTCGTAAATACTTGTGTTAAGTGGCTGTTAGACGTGGCAAGTGTAAGTTCTTTTCAAATGTCTACCAAACTCAAGAATTTCCAAAAGAGATTGCAGGAGGAGTTACATCTTGCATGTTAAGTGGATTTCAAAAGCAGTTTTTATTTCTAAAAATCAAACTTTTCGATACTACTTTTTGTCTGTTTATACGGTGAATGCAGACAATTCTACTTTCAACTATGTTACCAGATATTTTTATGCTTATAACAAAATTGCTGACTGATTAGAAAGGAAAATATCTGCTATGACAGCTAAGTGTCAATCAGAGCTTTCGAAAGATCAAAAGTAGTAAGGAAATGCTTGCCGCCTCCCTCGGACACTGTCCTAACATCGTTTCGAAGAAAATTTCCATCACATTGGAAAATCAAAGAAATGCCCAAGATGCTGCTACCTTTTCTAACCTGGCCCAACATGGACTAAGCTGCAAGAAAACTTGATAACTGGACTTTATTAAAGAGGCAATACATTTTTTTTTTTAACAACTGATGTAATCTGGCTCCCCAAACCAAGAAACTAACTGCAAATCTTATAAAACCATTTGTTATTTTCCGATGGCTTGTATGGGCTAATTAAAGCTTTTCACATATCAAATTGCATTCAAATCCAATGTGGATCGCCAATACAAAAATGTGTGTATGTGAGTAACAACACACACATACTACATACATCTTTGCATATACGAACGTATTCGAACAGTATCACATTCCGCATTTCGTTATGTAATTTCAATTACCAAATTAGTTTTATGGTTTTGCAAGTTCTGCATATCCAATTACAGCAAATTGCATATGCAGTACAAAGGCAGTAAAACGAGGTTGGTCGTAAAATTAAATGAAAACATAAGTATCACTTAATTAACTTTTTACCTTTACCTATGTATGTATGTATGTATGTATGTATATTAGAGTGGTCCTTAAATGTAGGAAGCAAATTTCTACATCAGATTTCCTAAGCCTCAACCCCTACGTCGATGCTACCATAGTCGAAGATATCACATATACATTTTGGTCGCAATTGAAGTCGGTTAAGGCGTGTCGCACAGGGGGCAAAGTCCAGATTCCTCTATGGGGACTCAAAAAATTAAAATTATTTTTTTCCCGTCTAATACCTCAAATCAATATTTTGGTCCCAATTGAAGTCGGTTAAGGCGTGTCGCACAGCGGGCAAAGTCCAGATTACCCTATCAAGACGTCTCAACCGACTCCAATCGGAACTAAAATGTATATGTGATATCCTCGAATTTAGTAGTATCGATTTTGGGTATTAGATGAAAAAAAAAATTATTTTCATTTTTTGAGTCTCTATAGAGGAATCTGTACTTTGCCCCCCCTTAACCGTATCCAATCGGGACCAAAATTTACATATATGTGATATCTGTGAGAATGGTATTACCGATTGAGGGGGCGAGACCTAAAAAAGCCTTCATTTGATTTTATGGATCACCCTAATATACATATCCACTCCCCCCCAAATACTTGTGGTCCGCTACTCACCACATTCTTGCATAATTTGCATGCGACGCCAGTCTCTATTCTGGCTGAGTCATTTTCATAGATCCGCTGGCCAACTCTTTACTTGGCATTCGTACATTTTAACACAACCGCACTAAACGGAATCATAATGAGCCGTCCAGTCCAGTTATTTTCGTACACAGNAGACGTCTTAACCGTCTCCAATCGGAACTAAAATGTATATGTGATATCCTCGAATTTAGTAGTATCGATTTTGGGTATTAGATGAAAAAAAAATATTTTAATTTTTTGAGTCTCTATAGAGGAATCTGTACTTTGCCCCCTGTGCGAAACGCCTTAACCGTATCCAATCGGGACCAAAACTTACATATATGTGATATCTGTGAGAGAGAGATGGTATTACGGATTGAGGGGGTGAGACCTAAAAAATGCTTCATTTGATTTTACGGACCACCCTAATGTACATATTCACTCCCCCCCCATATACTTGCGGTTCGCTACTCACCACATTCTTGCATAATTTGCATGCGAAGCCAGTCTCCATTCTGGCTGAGTCATTTTCATAGATCCGCTGGCCAACTCTTTACTTGGCATTCGTACATTTTAACACAACCGAACTAAACGGAATCATAATGAGCCGTCCAGTCCAGTTATTTTCGTACACAGCGCACAGACGTTCGTTTGTTTGTAGAGAAAAGCATTCTGCTTGATTGCTTAGCAAAATCACCAGCTATTGAATGAATTACTTCCTCAATATTCACACGCAAATACATACATACATACATACATATGTATACTAGCACAATGTATGCGAAAGATTTTTGATTTTTGTCTCTCTATCCAGCGAGTTAAGAGCGAAATACACCACACAAGCGGTTTGACAAACCAAGCGAAATTTCCCTTTGCTTCAAGCNATATGCTAGCACAATGTATGCGAAAGATTTTTGATTGTTGTCTCTCTCCATACTTACCAATCTACATACTTACATATTTATATGCATTTGTGTATAAGGTCTATGTATCCAGCGAGTTAGACGAGTTGCAGCGAGCGATCTCAACAATTCATGGCTCGAATCCATTTGTCATAATTTCTTGTTTTACTAAATTATTACTGCATAAGTATGAATTTTTGATTTGGCCAAGCATAACCAGTCCATAATAATCCCTCTCATCCATTTCTCTTGGTGACGGCAACGACAGCGGCGACGTTTGTGCAACAAAATTCCATTTGTATGCAGCGAGCGCAGTTGAGTCCGCAGTGGCATCCCACTAAGTGGCGCAACCGCAGCATGCAATTTTGTTTTGGCCGGCTCGGGGTGCGGTGTGGGGCGCCATTACATGGGTGCGTTTCGCTTCATCAGTTGGTGATCAACAGCGCGTTCGCTGCTCAAGGAGTGTTGTTCCATAACTGGTTGATCGAATGTCTGATGATTTTGCTAACTGGCTGCTGGCTGCAGGCTGGCTGGCTGGCTGACTGCTTATTTGTCTGGCTATTTGTCTCGTCGCTGTACTGGGCATGAGCGAATGTCTGCGCTGCCTGCCAGTTGGCCAGTGTCTGGCTGGGAGCAGTGCAACTCTGAATTGCAAGCCGGTACTGGTGGTTTAATGTTGATTGTCGGGGCGAGCAGTAATAATGGCTGCACTGAAAGCGCTTTGTACATGTAAACAATGCAGCCGTAAAAGCTGGTAAATAATTTCACTTTAGCGTCGCATGCTCATAATAACCGCATGCATGGTGATTTCTTTGCTGCAGAAAACAAATGAGAAAAAAAACAAGCATCTAATGCGCCGGAGGAATGTTTGCGGAGAAAAGCAATGTTAAAGCAATTATTTGGATTGAAGCTCTAATTAACGAGTTATGTGCGGTTTAAAATGTAAAATGTAAAAATCAAATATGAAAAAATTAAACAATGTAAAATAAAGCCTATTACAGTGCATTCCCAAGTAACTCACCCAAAAGGTAAAAGGGGACCTCAATGATGGAATCCGGAAATCTACTCTTTCAGATAGAAAAGATAGTAGTTTGAGAAATTATTGTTTTTTTAGACTTAAACTGAAATTTTGCTAATTCTTACCATTGATTCAGATTGAGTGACCCTTCATACATGAATATTGGCTATATTTGAAAAATTTGAAACGACTGATCCAAAATGGCGGATGTTTTTTCTTAAATTGATCGCATTTCCACGAAACCATAAAGAACCGTAAATAATCAATACCGAGGTAGGACCACCTGCATACAGGCAACCATTGTAGCCCAGTCTAACCTAACATATACCCAGAGAAAATGTGCCGAAAAATTATTATTTTTTTTTATAATAGATATTTGATATACCGGATGTCTCGAAGATCGCGCGATTGTAATCAGAAAATATTTGGATAAAAGCATTGAAGCCAGTTTGAACAGGAAATTCGCAAGTACGCCCGCAAATACTCACATACATAAGTACATTATCGTACATATTAGGTATGTATATAACATATTCATATACATTAGGGTGCATCACAAAAAAAAAGTTGTGTCTATTCAGCCGGAATTATAAAATTTATTATATTTTAAGACTTCTGCCGAAATATTTCGGAAAAATCTTAAGATTAACGAAAGCTAGACCCATTTGAAAATACTTCCAAAAATATTTTGTTTTTTGATTCCGAAAATTTTTTTTTTAAATTTTTATGCGATCCTTGAAAGCTTAAATTAAACTCTTCTATCACCGATGGAAAAATAGTACCGATTTTTTTTTTTTTGTACAGACAGTGATGCACCCTAATATACATAAATAGAGGTGAGCATATAAGCAAGGTAAGATAAAGAAAGTTGGTGTTACGAGTATCGCACGATGATAAGTGTTAAAGCCTACTGCTGCTTACGGTGATTGGAGATGCCATTGAAGTGGCAACATCCGCTGCAACTGACCGCTGCCACATATTTTGAGTCTGCTGTGGAACAACAATGTTGAAAGTGTAATTGAAAAATACCGAATTTTTTCAATCATAACGGAATTACAGAAGAAAAGGCATTGTAAAATAATGAATACTTACCAAAGCAACAAAAAGAAAAAAGTTGAAATGGGAATGCATATGGTATTCGATATACCGACATACATATGTATGTATGTGCATTAGGGTGGTCCAATATAAGTAAAGCCGAAATTTTAATAATGTCACCCCCTAGGATTAATCTATATCGAAAAAATATATATCTTTTTGTTTTTTTTTTGAATCAAGAAATATTTAGAGGTCGCTCAAAGCGCTCAAAGTTCTCCATGTATTTTATATATAGAAAAAAAACAGCTTTTCGTAGAAATGGTATGGAATTCTTGAAAATCAATATTTTTCGATCCTAAAACTCTGGTTCTCTTCAGGAAACTCCAATAACAATACCAAATTTTTTATTTAACCGTGTTTTAATACTAAAGATTTTTTATTTACCCCCTCATTGCATGTTCTAGCATTTTATGGGGGTTTTGGTGAACCCAGAAAATATAGTTGCTATGAAAAAATCGTTAAATAAATAATTGGGAATCTCTTGAAGAGAAACAGAGTTTTCCGGTCGAAAAATATTGATTCTCAAGAACTCGATACCGTTTATACGAAAATTGTTTTTTTACCCATATAAAATACATGGAAACTTTTGATCGCTTTGAGCGACCTCTAAATATTTTTTTGATTTTAAAATAAAAAAATAGGGGTATATTTTTTCGGTGTAGAACAGTCCTAGGGGTGAGAGCACAAAAACTCCGACTTTACATTTTCACATGCATTTTTGGACCACCCATGACCACCATAATGCGCATACATGCGTTCATATTTTCGACATACATACTTATATCCATGTACACTTCTCACGCCACCAAATATATTGGAGATAGTATTTTACCACTCACTTACATACATACATACATATACACATTCATGCATGCATACTCGACAAAAGCATAAGTACGAGTACATAGCTGAGCAGATAAGTATGAGCGAATGCGGAATTGGGTCAGCTGGGCTCCCTTTCATTTTTTTTTTGTTGATGCAATTTCAACTTTTACTCCGCCAATTGCGGCAATTCAGTTTGTGTGTATGTATGTATGTGCGTACTTAAGTGCTAAATGCCAATATAAATAGTGGGCATGGATACGAACATATAAAAACTCTGCAATGGTAAAGAAAAAAGAAATAGATTATTTTAGTGCCGGAGGATGTCTCCATATTTAATTTCTTAACAAAATAAATGAAGAGGTACCCTTTATATAGATTAATTATATTTTATAGACTTAATGCTTATCCAGATTTGATAATAATTTCCTACTAAAACAAAAAAATGAACTTAGTTAAATTTACCAAAAGTCAATAATTATTTTTAGACTTAAGTGAATGAAATACATAAATATTGCTCCTACCATTATTAATTAGCTTAAATAGTTTCTATATGATAATTACACTTTCCTTTCATTGGTTGTATGCTGCTTCTTCATCCCATTATGTGCACATAAATACATATATATGTATGTGTGTAAATTTTCGCCATGGGAAATAAAATACACTCATAAATATCAAAAGCAAATTAAAATTTAAAGTTGGCATTTTCCAAGCGCACGTAACTGATGTACAAGTACAATGCATTTTAATTCATGCAACAATGCGCAAGAGCGATTGTCCAATCAGCCTCCAGCCGACGCTAAGTACACACCTTTGTTATTTGTTTGGCTCAGCTGCAGCTACAGCACCGAAAGCGTGTAAATGTCAAAAGTTTGCAAGAAAAACGAGCAAAGCAAAAAAAAAAAACCAAGCTGAATTCTCAAAAAGTCGCCATGTCCAATAAAGCATGAGCACGTATTGTATGTATGCACTTAAAATATAGTACAGCCAACTGAATCTGTGGCGTTTCAAAGGAGGGTTAAAACAAAAAAAAAAAAGCGGTGGGACTTCACGTAGATGGCTAACAGTAGAGTAGGTTTCATCTATACATTTTACCTCGTATGGCAACTGCATTTCAAAGAACGTTTTTTTTTACGGTAAACAGGGTGGCCAATCTAAATACTTAATATAAGTCGTCTTTTCGGTGCGGCTTCGATGAGGATGTATGTATTTTGAAACGAATTTCCTTTGGTGAGAACGAAAAATGACACTAAAGACAGCACAACTCCGAAATCAGTTTGTCTCCGAACCACTGATGAGGCAGATTCGTTTCCAATCAAAAGATCCAAGCAACTTACATACTTTTCCTTTTAAAACAGGTTTTCAGGTAAAAAGTTTACTAACCTTAAAAAAAAATTTTTAGTAAAGCATAATGCCGAATTTTCACTAGGCATTGCAGTGTTAAAAAATTGGAGGAATTTAAAAAATGCCATGTGAAAATGAATTAAATGCCTAGTGAAAATTCAGCATACGAATTCTTACTTCAAAAAGATTTATTTTGCATTTTTAGCTTTACTTCATCGCTCTCCGATTATCGTGCAAAAAAAAAAAGAATGAAAAATCATCAGATTTTAACCCCCCCTGTCTACAATACCATCGCACGCCTATGATTCGCATTGGATTTTTATCGCTATTGTGTTTCTATGGATGCTGGTCCAATTGTGTTTGCTACTTTTTTTTTGCGTTTGCTTTTACTAATGTTTTGTTTTTGTTGTAATGCTTGCGCACGCAAACGACCTTAGCAATTAAATTGGCGTTCGTTAATGGATTTATTTTCTCGATTTTATGTAGCATTTTTCACTTTTATTGAATAGCGCAAGGCAGTCAGTGCAAAAGTTGAACTCGCGTTAGCATGTGCGAAGAATTTGTTTATAAGTATGTATGTATGTGTGCGCAAATCTATGGCACAATCAGTATTTTGCATAAGTTTGAACCTGAATATAACCTTTCATAAATTTACACTCAAGTACGCACCTTGTTCGGCGATCTACACAGATACATACATACATACATATTTTGTAAACAAATGAATAAATAGTTTTAGCAAAGTAGAGTTAATAAATGCAAAAAATTATTTCATTTCATCTAAATTTTAAACAAGTTTTGAAAAAAATCACGTTTCAAATTTCGAACTCCAAATATCGCAAAGTTATGCGAATCACGTACCATATTTATGTGGCCAATCACACGAGCTGGTTATTTATGGCCAAAGAATGCCAACTGGTTTTATTCCATTTTGCTCATCCACGCACTATTTTTTCCAGCGGAGCTGACGAAACTCGTTGAAAAAGCGAAAACCATTAGGAGCAGCAGAAGTGAGAGTGTTTTGTGATGAACAAATATTTATTTTTTTTTTTTTAATTTTTTGATTAATGGAAAGCTAAGTGAAGCTGCGTGTTGGCAAATTGAAATATGTAAACATCTTGTGAATGGATGATGCAAAGCTGTATGTTTATATGGTATGAATGTATTTTTTCATTTGCTTAGTGATGTAGCGAGTTCGTAGCCTAAGTCTTTTGTATTTGAAACGTCATACGTTTGGCTACGTCTTAGGATCTTTTGAAAAGTATTACTTTTAATGCAAAAGAATCGATTGTTTATAGATTAATGTTAAACCATTTTGAAATAGCGTGTAAGAAGAGAAAGCTAGTAAATAAGTTTAGAGAGAGTGAAGGAACATTTTGTTGCGATTGTTTATATTGGTCAAGCGGGGATAAAAGGGAAAATGAGAGCGATGTACATGAGAACTAGCACACACATTCAGAAATAAAAAAACATATTCTGAGAGTTCATAAATGCTCTGTAAGATGACACTCTCATCAAAATTTTTGACGTAGAATAAGTATGTCTTACGTTTCGATATGGAGGCTATGCTTAAATGTTGTAGTTGTAATTTTTAGAGCTTTATGAAAACGCTTATTGCACGAGAACTAATAAAGCGATTTGAGAGAAAAGTATAGCGTTTCAAATATATAATTCCAAAACTATCGACAGATTTAGTCTTATAAGTAACCAATTCGGTTTCTGTCGTACAAACAACGGTAAATATTGGCTTATTTTGGGGTCAATTTTGAGCCTTTAAAGTGCTCTTTTATTTGGTATATGTGAAGTATTGCTTGATATCTTCGAAGTATGTTTATTTGATTCAAATATATGGGCATAAATAATTTTCCATACAAAATCACTTCGTCATCATTTTGCAAACACGTGCATGCGCTGGAAGTGAGAAGGAGACAAAAAGTATGTGTGTGTAGGTATTTCGGCTTTTGAATAACAGATGGCGCAATATTTATAAAAAGCAAAGGTGAAGGCGAATATGTAGATGAGGAATATGATAAACATAAAAGTAAAAACAAAGATAAATATGAGGATGAGGATACCGATAAAAGTAAAGACGAAGATAGAGGAAGAAAGATTAAAATAAAGGTAATTATAGAGAAAAGGATATAGACAAAGACTTAATCTGGGCGACTATTTATTTTAGAGATTTTCGGAATTCTCGGGACTTATCGATATAATTATCGATATTTTATCGGTTTTGTTATAGAAACTTTTATCGATATTATTGTTGATTTTGATATCGATATTTTCGGAACTTATGGATATAATAAACGATATTTTTAATCGATTTTGTTATCGATATTTTAATCGATTTTGTTATCGATATTTTAATCGATCTTGTTATCGATTTTGTGATAGATTTTTTTTATAGATTTTGTAATCGATTTTGTTAACGGTATTTTTATCGATTTTGTTATCGATATTTTTTTCTTAGTGTGTGCTTTCGTTTTTGACTTGGATGTGCTCTTAACCATACCACGTATTCTACGTTTTAATTTAGCTGCAGACCAAGACGAGGGCGCTGGACAGTTCCTTTTTTTTAGTTAATAAATGCGAACTAAATATGCAGTCCGATTTTTCAGTAAGCAAATGATTCGCTACTTTAAATATAAGGTAATCCTCTTTATATGACCACTCAATTAACGCATTATCGCAAGTATTACGCGCCCAAATGAATACAATTTAAAACGATTGTAACGCAATGATTAGAGGTAGAGGTGCCTGCTACCACGCTACCACTAAATGATACTCAGGTTTCATTTGTGGTCCAATAGATATCCTAAGAAAATTTTGTGGAGTTATTTCCATCCATGCAAGTAACATATATTTCAAATTTGAACGGATTTATTCATCCTTCATATTACACTGTCGTTCGGATATGAGCTAAGTTTGAAGTTTAAAGTCTAAAAAAATTAGAAGTTTCTATCCCGAACATCCTAGACCCTCATAACGAAATCTATAGGACGCAGAGATTAGGAAAGTCTCACATGATATATATGCTTACAAGAAAGAAATCGCTGGGTAAAACAGAAATGAATGGAGTATTTCCAACCCTTTTCGAGACACTGCTGGCCACTTTGATGATGAACAACCGTGGCCATTGTATAGCGACATCTCTTCACTCCACCAAGATGAGGCGAGAGCAGCAATATTACGGGTTCAAAACAACAAACTTCTTGGAAAGTATACCGGCTAAGCTTTTCGAAAATTAACACTAAAAAATAACGCTATCCTGGTGATCAAGCGAATAATAACTCTGCAGTCCGGTCAACTGGTACTATTTACTTGGAGTTCGGTGCTATGGGCGAAGTTTCTTGGTCTTGGACCACACCGATAAAGAGTACCTAATAAGATGAAATAAATATGAGGTCTATTTCTCCATCTGCACTGGGACTAAACGTTTTAGGACAGTTGTGGATGTAATCATTTGACCTTTGTCCGGTCAGACAGAAAATCGATTCGCTCTTCAAGCATTGAAACCCTCCAAATACCATTTAAATAATCTCTCGCGGTCAATTAAGGCTAGTTCAGCGTAGAATATGCACAAGGCTTTCAAGAAGTTCACTTAAAGGGCATACTACCTCTCTCTTGACACTGTACTGGGTACTTATTTCTTCTCCTAACCTAAAAAAAAATGTTAACCAAAGACACAAATAAGTGTATTTTTACTCAAATTTAAGCGTAAATTTTCACAATCTTGATAGAAGTTCGAGGAATCTGTGAGACTTTACTGATCGTAAGTAAAAGTGTTCGTTTTACGGAGTCCGGCTGATTACAACTGCCAAGTATTAACCACAATAATTACTAGCTCAATTTTCGATACATAGCAATTATATTCATTGAATATCAGGTTAGGATTAAGAAGTACTTCACCGTTTTTACACCAATGATTGATTAGTAGCAAGTTGACTTCAAAGACTTTAAGCCGTCGACAGACGTTTTTTTTTCTGCCGTGAATACCGTAAGCTGCTTTGACGGCAACTTCGGTCATTCAACTGACTCATACCAAACTATTCGTTCCACGTAAAAAGTGTAAGCAGCTTAAGATATCAGCAATTTTAAGTTTCTGCTGCGTTTTTTTCTGTGGCTGAACACTTTTTAATGTTCGCTTCTTTTAATTAGCCTTCATGTTTTGGTATTCTCTAACGCTTAAAAGTATGTACTCAGCAAAATTAAATTTTTTTTTCATACGTATATACACTTGTAATAATACATACATATATCAATAATAAAACATAATTGTATTTACTTTACTTCCAACAACAATTCGTTTCAGCGAAATCCACTGTGAAGTCGGCAAAGTCGTGAGTGTGCAAAATCATTTGTAAGCTGGAAAATGGGCACAAAGATCGAGTACGTGGACACGACGCATCTCTATGCAACCAAATACATACGCAATTCAAAAGCCATAGCCGTACTTTGGGCGATATTCACAATATGCTATGCAATCATCGGCATCGTTGCCTTTGTGACGCCAGGTTAGTGTGTCAGTCAACAATCGAATGGAATGGCCAAGTTAGATTAGTTTTCTACACTGATCGAGTATGCATATGTACATTAGACTGCATCACTCCCCATACAAAAAAAAATCGGTACTATTTTTCCATTGGAATTATAGAATCTATTATATTTTGAGACGTGCACCAAAATATTTCGGTAAAATATTAAGATTTACGTGTGCTGGACCGATTTGAAAATAGCTCCAAAAATAGAGTTTTTTATGAATAAAAATAGTTCCTCAAAGCTTTTTTTCGAAAAAACCCCCGCAAATGACAAAACGGTTTAAGCTTAAAAAATTTGCATAAAAATAGTTTTAAAAAATTTAAACAAATTTTGAACGGAATCGTAATGATGAGATTTTTGATGCTGTTTTTTAATTTTTTTCAAAGATTTGTATAAGAAAAACTTGAATAACTGAACCTAAACTCTTCCGATTTAGACCTAAGAGGTGTCATTGGAAAGGTATTTTCTAACCCTTTTTATTTCTTTGCTAATGAACTCATTCAAAGGATGAAAGAGAAAGGTACGATGAACGAACGTTATGCAAAGTTGAATTAAGATGTGTTGGTATTTGAAAAAAAAATTGGGACTTGAATGACTTTTTTTTGGACAGAAATAAGAACAGTGTGAAAATACCTTTCTACCGAGATCCCATAAGTCTAAATCAGAATTGGTTTGGCACAGTTATACAAGTTTTTCGTAAATCAATCTTTGAAAAAAGTAAAAAAAACAGCATCACAAATCTCATTTTTACGATTCCGTTGCAAAGATTTTTAAATATTTTTATGCAGATTTTTTAAGCTTAATCTTGTCATCTGAGGGGACTTTTTTCAAAAAGTTCTTTAAGAAACTATTTTTATTCATAAAAAACTCCATTTTTGGAAGTATTTTCAAATCGGTCCAGCCCACTTAAATCTTAATATTTTTGCGAAATATTTTGATGAGCGTCTTAAAATATAATAAATTTTGTAATCCCGGCGGAAAAACAGCAACTTTTTTTGGTGATGCAGTCTAATGTACATATGTATGTATACTCGTACACAGAGCTGAGTAGTACAAAACAGCGCGACTTTGAGAAAACACATCAACCTTTGTTAAAAGAAAATTTGCGCTAAATAAGACCATTTCATTCAAAATATTTTCTGCACGCATTTTTACATATATTTTATGGTTTGTTTATCTAAGCCAGTTTCTAATCGCATTGTTTGCAATTTCTCTGCAGAATGGGTTGGCGATCCGGACAATGAAAGTGCGGGACGCTTAGGTCTGTGGCAGGTGTGTCAGCGCGATGAGATATTCGACAATTGCAAGCGACGTTGGGAGACCATACTTTCAGTGCCAACATTCTCGTTCCAAGTGCGTAAAACGCAGCCACCTTTGGGCATATCAAGCTATACGTTTATCTGCTATTTTATCTACCCATGTTTACTCTTGTTTGTTTTGTTATTTATTTTTTCATTTTTCTATTTTTTATTTGTTTAATTAATCATTGTTTGCGCTCACGTACCAACAACAACGGCACCCACACTCACCATAACCATCATCGGCGCGCTGAATACACAGTTGGCAACATTCTTTATGGTTGCGGCGGTGGCATTGGCCTTGCTGACAATCTGCTTCTTGGTATTCTTGATCTTCATGAAGTCGACGAGAGTCTTTCACATATGCGGTTGGATGCAAATCATATCAGGTCAGTATATACATACATACATACTACAAAGTACAGTAGGTGTATGTATCTTTGTATGTATGTGTCAGTACGTGTATAAAAAATAATATATATGTATGCTCAATATATCCACTACTATACGCGTTTAAAAGAAAAAATTAAAAAAATCTAAATCTTGCCGAATTTCGCTAACCCACAAATCGAGTGCATAAAAATGTGCATACTTGAAGGGAAATGAAAAATGCTACGCCAGCAATATATTTTAAATATGAGCGCTTAAACATTTTTTTTTCGGGTTGGTATCAACTAAATGTAGAAGTGCTTATGTATACAGACATGGCACAATTACAAGGTGAAGTAATAAAATAGCCTTCTCGCTTTATTTTCTGTCATTTGGCTATCTTAAGCTGCCTTTACACGGGTCGATTTCTGTCATTTTACAGTTGAATTGCAATTGTACTGGCCGATTTTGGTTGAACGACAAAAATCGACGCGTGTAAAGGCAGCTTTATTATGCAAAATTTTAACGGCAAATTTTCAAATAAGAAGTGTCAAATCAATAGAAAGCATTCTTCTTGCTCTTATTACTTCACCGGGTATAATTTCGAAAAAAATAAAAAAATTAAAAAAAAATTTTCGATTAAAAATTCAAAAAGCGGTCCTAAAACTTCCTATTAACTAATTGTCTAGATACTAAAATAATTGCCTTTTCTCTCTCTCCATTTAATTTAGCGCTTTGCATGATTGTCGCCTGTGCCGCCTTTCCCTTCGGCTGGAACTCAGATGATTTTCGCAAAATCTGCGGCCCTGATGCGAATCGTTTTGAACTTGGTCTCTGCGGCATTCGCTGGGCCTATCCTCTTGCCATAATCGGCTGTGTCGATGGTGTGGTCCTGGCCACGCTCGCTTTCATACTTGCCACGCGACATGTTCGCTTACAACCTGATCCCCTCTATCAGAGCTCGCTCTACAAAGGTAAGTTTAAATTAAGAAGAAACAACGAATGAACTTCGAAATCAAATTTCTTTCATTTCATACCAGGCGAGATTAACAACGCTTACATTACAGACGCAGTCAGTTTGGCCGGCTCACGGAAATCGCTGAATCTACAGCCAATTTTGCTGGTGGCGCCTCCGCACAATATGCCCGCCAACGGCGATGACACGATATCACAATTCTCTTCGCGCACACCCAACCATCGATATCGACCCGACTACCCAATGCATCAGTTCTGAGGAGTCCCGTTGGTCTCGTGATGAACATAATTTGTGCTGCCGACCTATTTTGTGATTTGTGATCTTTCGTGTGTTTGATATTTTCTATTTTCCTATTTTGTGTGCTAAGGATTTTCATTTCCATTTGACTTCCTAAATGCAGGTTTTTGTGGACTGAAAGAAAGAAGTAAAATCAAAACCTTGTAATGAAAGTTGTGTCGCACTCGACGGCTACCTGTATATAACTACGGTAAATAGGAATGTAATTTTATTGTATGTATTTTTAATTTGTAAAATGTACAATAGAAAATAAGCGTAATCCTAAATAAATTATTGTCTTTATCTGTGCGAATGAAAAACTTGATGGGTGCTTTCGGATGAAAATAAGTTACTGAGGTGCGGAATTCGTTGAATAGTTCCGTGTTGAAAAGGACTATTGCTCCATTGAAAACATTTCTAGATTCGGCTGGACAACGAAAGTATGAAGAATGACTAAATTTTATACGTCGCGTCTTTGCGGTTGGAACGATTAACTACCGCCACTTTGCCACTTTAGGGGAATCGAGAAGCGGATGTCTAGCCACTTAGAACAGTCGCACAAAAAAAGATGTATGTATGTAGGTACTGACACCGAGAAAAAACTTTTTGGGCAGCTTCTCATCATGGACTGGCTATTATCTTCTTAAACAACGCCTAGTAATATTTTAATGGACGGAGACGATGGCTCTAAGCCTAAGCACCAGTCAGTTTCATATGGCTTACACATCACGATATCTGACTGGATGCTCACTTTTCACCTACATTGTCGGTAATTAAATTTTTTAGCTCAATAATGATACGTATGAATCTAGTCGGGGATTGCCTGACTTTCCCCTCTACCTTTCCCCAAGACATTTTGAAAGTTTCGCTTTCAGGCTTTCATTTGTACCAACCCAGCCAGCCAAAGGCGGAGCGCTCCTAATATGGAGTGAAAAGGGACTCCTTCAGCAACGGAGCGTTTTCGGAATGCTCCGAGTATGGAGTGAAAAGGGACTCCCTCAGCATCGGAGCGTTTTCGGAGCGCTCCGAGTATGGATTGAAAAGGGAGTGAAAGTGTTTTTTTTATCTTGTTTTTTGTTTTTTTTTGCATCTAGTCTATAAGATTTTTTATGTCATAGACTGAAAAAATTTTAAATCAAGTGAATTTTTATAAGGGGAAAAAAAAACAAGTGTTCGGTAAATTCGGTGTCCGGTAAATGACAACGTCGCCTCGGAATATTCGTGGAAAGTGCTATTGACATTTTGGCTGTTGCGAATGCATTCAAAGGTGAAAAAGAACACATACAAATTACTTTTGGCTAAGATTAGAACTTTTCAGGCGCACTTAATACCAAATTTGCTGGTTCTGGAAAATAATTTAATAGAGCGAGCGCGAAATGGTTCTAAACCTCAAAAGAACCTGTTTTAAAAAAAGATAAAAGGTAGTTTTATATTACAGTATTATTCCTCTTTGATTTGTTATTGTACTTAATAATACACTGCGTTGCATAAATATAGTACCGCCACTTAATGATAAGTTTTGACAATTTATTTTTCTAAAAATTCTATGTTAAAAGTGTGAAATTTTGGTAAAAATTTGTTGACTTTTTTTATAATTTTTGCACAAAGCTTGAAATTATTTATTTATATGTTTTTTGTTAAAGAATGAACAATATTTTTATGAGAAATTACTTAAAACTTGTCAATATTTGGCGGTCTTATAATTATGCAACACAGTGTATGTTAAACCATTTTCTGTAATTTAGTGTTTTTTTTTCAATAAAAAAGAAAGATAAAAGAAAATTATTGTAATTATTATTATAAATGAAATTATGAGTATTTTCAGAAACCGTAAAGCCTCCTTTACGGTCTATTATTGGAGCACTCCCAAAACCCTCTATCTAGGTTATCTTCGAATGATTTTAGGAGTGCTTTTCACAAAATCATAGCCGAATTGGGGAGTCCGTACGGAGTGTTTGCGCATTATCTAAGGGAGCTTTATGGAACTCCGAAATCACTCATTTAAGGAGTCCTAAAGGCACACTTTTCTCATGTATGGTGAAAAGGCACTTTTCCCCCGCGGATATGCTCCTTTGGGAATCTTTTCGGAGCCTCCCTAGAAGCATCAGCGCTCCGCACAGGGTGTCCGGACTACGTACCTATGTAGTTAGAACTCCTTCATGTTAGGTCACCCTTGTCCACATGTGGCCTACTCTTGGACAGCTGAGCGCATAGTCAGTTTAGCGATATCTGGGAGGGAAACTCGGAGGCTCGCCAAGAAGACTTAACTGGGCTAGATTCAATGCTATCTCGATTCTCTTTCACGACATTTGAATCTGTAGGCCACGCTGTCTTTTTCGTTAAAAACACCCTGTTCTCTAACTGCTTAGCCAAGTTCACAACCGGTGTCGCCCGTGCATTGTTAATAACACGGAAGTAGTACTTCCATTTGAAGCCGGAAATATTTGTAATTTCCTTTCTTTACAATTAGCGATTTCATCTATATTTAGGCGTTTGCATTATTTGAGCCGGTAGCAAATGCAAAATTAAATGATTGAATGCATGCACGAGCACATACAAGGCTTTTGAACTAAAGAGCGAAAGAGTCAGCTCTTTTAATTGAACTAGTGCATTAGTTCGTTCATTAAAGGGAACTAAAATTTTCTGTGGCAACACTCCAATTAAAATGGAAGTATAGTTTAAATACATTTGGCATCCTTTTTTTCGTTGTAAGGGCATAAAGAAATAACTGTGCGTGACAGACAACTGAATTGTGTCGTTATTGACATGTAGAAAAAACAAGTAATTTTTGCAAAAAAAACTGACTTAAAAAAAAGTGTATATATGTATATATATTTCATGATCCAATGATCCGATCTAAACCAGATTAGTATGGGACCTCTGCGACACTACCTTTCCGATGCAAAAAAAATTATCGAAACCGGTTGACGTGGTCCAAAGTTATGCGGTAACATACATAAAAAAAAAAATATTCCGACGTACTGATAACCTCCTCCTTTTGGAAGTCAGTCAATTAGTTTTTTATTTTTCAGATTAATTCAATCGTTTATCTGTACATATGTACGTATGTTTGTGTAATAAAACTTACATTTTTGTTGTTCTGTTACTCAGCTCCTACTACCGANGTCAATTAGTTTTTTATTTTTCAGATTAATTCAATCGTTTATCTGTACATATGTACGTATGTTTGTGTAATAAAACTTACATTTTTGTTGTTCTGTTACTCAGCTCCTACTACCGAACTAACGGGTGATTTTTTTGAGGTTAGGATTTTCATGCATTAGT